TGGTTCTTTGGACAGAGCAGACAAATATTATACCTACTGGGGCTAGTACTCAGGCACTGGTCTCCATTGAGGAGAAGAGCCCAACTGAGCAGAATATACTTCCCTTCTGATTAAAAAAAAGGAAAAATAAGACTTAACATGCCAAACTTGGGTGTGTCACCTGAGGCACACCCTTAACCCTGGAGACTGAAGAGTTCTCTGGCCACATCCACTACAAGCCTCCAGAGATTCAGTGAAAGCAGAAAGACCACTTATCTACAGTACAAAAATAAATCCACCACAGTGGAATAAAAAAGAAGAAATCTTGCTGGTCTGGACAAGTGGTGGCAAATTCTTTCAATTTCTGTTTGTTATGAAAGGTCTTTATTTCACCTTCATTCACAAATGAGAGCTTTGCAGGGTATAATAATCTGGGATGACAGCTTTATTCTCTTAGGACTTGGGCTAGATTTTGCCATTTTCTCTTAGCCTGCAGGGTTTCTGATGAGAAGTCTGCTGTGAGTCTAATTGGAGATCCTCTGAGAGTAATCTGATGTTTCTCTCTTATGCATTTTAGAATCTTCTCTTTTTGTTTCATTGTGGCAGTTTGATTACAATGTGTCATGGCAAGGTTGTTTTCTGATCATGTCTATTCAAAGTTCTGTGTGCTTCCTGTACTTGGATGTCTCCTTTCTTTTTCCAAACCCGGAAAGTTTTCTGCTAGTATTTCACTAAAATTGCCTTCTAATCCTTTCTCTCTCACCATGCCTGCAGGAACTCCTAGAACCAGAATGTTGGTCTTATTTTTTTTTTTTATAGTATCCTGTAGATTCCCAACAGTCTTTTTTAGATTTCTAATCTCCTGTTCTTGTGTTTGCTTTGACTGTATACTTTCCTGTACTCTGTCTACTAAGTCTGGTATTCTCTCTTCTGCCTCACTGATTCTGTTTTTAAGGCTCTCCACTGCTTTTTTTATTTGTTGTATTGAATTCTTCATTTCATTTTGATTTCTTTTTAATATCTCAGTTTCATGTTCTGTTGAATTCTTCATTTATCTTGATTCCTCCTGATAATTTTTATTTCATGGGAGATATTTTCTTTCATGTCCTTCATGGATTTCAGTAGTTTGTGCATTTGCTTTTGATTACTTCTATGTAATCTTATGACCAAATTTTTGAGTTCTATTTCTTGCATTTCTTCTCTCATCATCTTCATGACCTAGTATTGGAATGTCATGTTCTTTTGGGAGCATGATGATGTTTTCCTTATTCTTGCTTCTTGGATTGTTGCATTTGGCATTTGTGGAAATACTCGTCTTTTTTTTTTTTTTCTGGCAGTTTTTATCATTGTATTATGACTATAGATAAATGGACTTTCTGCTTTCACTGAATCTCTAGAGGCTTGTAGTGGGTGTGGCCAGAGAGCTCTGTTCAGTTTTCAAGGGTAAAGGGTATGCCTAAGGTGACACATCCAGGTTTGGCATGGTAAATCTTTTTTGAATCAGAAGGGAGTTATATTCTGTTCAGCTGAGTTCTTCTCTTCAATGGAGACCAGTGCCTGAGTACTAAATCAAGTGGGTATAATATTCACTATGTCCCAAGGACCACATAAGGATCTGTGCTCTCAATGTGGGACCTCTGTCCTTAGTGAGAATTAACAGTAAATCTAGTCTTCAAACACCTGTTTAGCTGGGAGCCTAGGAAAAAGTGCTCAGGCAAGTAATATTGTGAAAAATTAGTTCTAAGTAATATGAAAGATAACCCAGACAAAACAGCAGTCCAGCAAATCATTCAACCTCACTGAAACTACCAGCGGCTACATCATTCATTTTCTATTAAATCTGTTTATAATAAGATTTAATTTGATGAACACTTGCAAGAAGCTGTGGGGACTTAAACAGGGATGAAGAGCTATTTCTTATGGGTAGTAATGGAGTTGAAATGGATTAGTTGCACAGCTATTATCTAGATGGGAAATAAAAGAGCTACTGCAGCTAGATGCATCATAGCATTTGTAGCCCTGTTGTCATGGGATAGCCAGGCAACCTAGGAAAAGTGTTCCTCCTGAGGGTATCCTGAGGAACTAACTGAATGTAAATCAGATTTATATCAATCCAGAAAGGACTTTGTAAATTGGAAGGAATAAAAATACACATTTTCAATAAAAATGAGGGCCACCTGCAGGAGCAGGGAATAATGCAACAAAAAAAGGTTGTGAAAAATTATAAGTTAAATTAATACAAAAATGTACTACAGGGGCCAGCACTGTGTCACAGCAGGTTAATGCCCTGACCTGAAATGCTGGCATCCCATATGGGTGCTGGTTCAAGACCCAGCTGCTCCACTTCCAATCTAACTCTCTGCTATGGCCTGAGAAATAGTAGAAGGCCCAAGTGCTTGGGTCCCTGCACCTACATGGGAGATCTGGAGGAAGCTCCTGGTTTTGGATCAGCACAGTTCTGGCCATTGTGGCCAATTGGGGAGTGAAGCATTGGATGGAAAATTCTCTCTCTCTGCTTCTGCTCTTTCTGTGTAACTCTGACTTTCAAATAAATAAATCTTTTTTTAAAAAAATACTACATTTATGCTCCTGCTTCTCTATTGCAATGGGTACGACATGGATAGACTTCATTCCATGTTCTTGTCTCAAGGCAATTAGGAATAGAATGAAAAAGAGTAGAAAAGTGGCATCATGAATGAAAAAGGCATTATGCATTCAGTAATACAGGAAAATTCAGATGAGTGTTGCAACTTATAGGGTTTGAGGTTGTCCCTTTAAAGAATGAGGGTAATGTGTGTGGCAACATCTACTTGCATAATCAAATAGACCTTGGGTAGTGGAGTCTAATCCAGATGTGCACACAGATAAGTTGAAATTTCTCATGGGTATATAGGTCACCACACACTCATTCCCTTGTGTTGCACACAACACTTATTATCCAGGGCCAGGGTACACTATTATGGCTGGAACATGTGTCACTTGATATGCCTATGGTCACATCACTGGTTTGCACTACAATAATGAGGGGAAAGAATCCTGGGTGGCCAAAAAATCAGCTATAAAACAAGTAACTTTGTAATTGATGAAGATGGTATTCCAAATAACTGTTGAAATAACTGTTACTCAACTTTTAAATATTTATTAACAAAATTTACACAAGAGAGCACAGTTCAGTTCATATACTTGATTCCACTCAGAATAATGAGAAACCAAAAGTTCTGGTTGAATAAGAGAAAAATTTCTGAAGAGCGGTTAACCACTCTCTGTCACAATTCATTATGAAAACTGCCCAATACTCACTAAGGTGTGATTCCACCAAAGAATTCTTCCAAACAAATTATACTTCAGGGACTTCTCTCTGTAATCTTGCTATGTTTTGTGGAAGTTTGCCTAATAATAAAGGTATTTCCTATTACAATAAATCATAGGATTTTTTCTTTCTGTGAGTTGTCAGGTAACCATTGACAGGTGACATATGGTACATAACTTTTCTATGCATGTATGTTTTCTCATTTCAGAGTCTCTTCATGTGAATTGATTAATGGCAGAAAATTTTTTCACATTCATTAAATTGACATTTTACTGTATGAATTCTCTGGTGTTAGTTGATGTTTAATTTCTTTTTTTTTAAGATTTTTATTTATTTGACAGGTAGAGCTACAGACAGTGAGAGAGACAGAGATAAAGGTCTTCCTTCTGTTGGTTCACTCCTCAAATGGCCACAGTGGCCAGAGCTGCACTGATCTGAAGCCAGGAGCCAGGTGCTTCTTCCTAGTCTTCCATGTGAGTGCAGAGGCCCAAGCACTTGGGCTGTCTTCTACTGCTTTCCCAAGCCACAGTAGAGAGCTGGATTGAAGAGGGGCAGCTGGGACTAGAACTTGCACCCATATGGGATGCCAGCATAGCAGGTGGAGGATTAACCTATTGCTCCACAGCGCCGGCCTGATGTTTAATTTCTGGCTATGGTTTTTTGAGTTCTATTGCACTTGAAGGGTATCGCCTTTCTTGAGTTGCATATTTATGCAAACCTGAATTCTATGAAAATATACTTCCACATTCATTACACTCCTAAGAAACCACTTGTGTGAATTTTCTGATGTATAATGCCATTTCTGACAAATGGCTTTTTGTCACACTAATAATATTTCTGAAATTCTTCATTTTCTTTAACAATTTGTGTTATTTATTTGAAAATCAGAGTTAGAGAGAGACAGGGAAGCAGAAAGAGGTCTTCCATCTGCTAGTTCACTCCCCAGATGGATGCAATGGCTGGAGCTGCAGTGATCCAAAGCCAGGAGTCAGGAGCTTCTTCTGGGTCTCCCATGTGGGTGCAGGGACATCTTCTACTGCTTTCCTAGGACATAGCAGAGAGCTGGATCAGAAGAGGAGCAACTGGGACTAGAACCAGTGCCCACATGGTATGCCTGCATTTCAGGCCAGGGCTTTAACCTACTGTGCCACAGCGCTGGTCCCAACCTTTCTTCCTTATGGGAGTGCCTATTGTATGGGTTGTAATTTCCAGCAAAAGGCTCTGTCACATGGTTATGTTGACTTTGGAAAAAGTCCTTCACATTCATTATATCCTTAAGTTCTCTCCCTTGTTTGATCTACATGTTATGAGGTATTCCTTCTGACAAAAGGCTTTCCCACATTTATTACAAGATTTCCATCATGTAATAAATTCTCTGATGTTATATTGTGTAATTTTGGCAGAGTTTTCCAACATTCATTCCATTCATAAGGTTTCTCCCCCATGTGAATTCTGATGTTTTATGAGGTGTTACTTATGGATAAAGGCATTATATCCAAAGTGTTTTCCCCCATATGAATTAGATGATGTGCAATGAGGGCTGAATTATGGGAAAAAGCTTTCCAAGTCATTATGTCCAAAAGGTTTCTCTTTATGTGCATTTTCTGATGCATTCTGAGATGTGACTTATTGCCAAGGGCTTTTCTACAGTCATTGCATTCATGAAGTTTCTCCCTGGTGTGAATTCTGTGGTGTAATATGAGCTATGATTTATAAAGGCTTTTCCACACGTACTAGATTCATAAGGTTTCTGCCCTGTGTGAACTGTTTTCATATGAGTATAACTTATAGAAAAAGGCTTTTCCACAGTCATTACATTTATGAGGTTTCTCCCCTGTGTGAATTCTCTGGTGCACGATGAGGTGTGACTTTTGTCCAAAGGTTTTCCACAGTCATTACATTTATGAGGTTTCTCTCCTGTGTGAATTCACAGATGTTTCCTGAGGCCTGACTTGTATCCGAAGGCTTTTCCACAGTCATTACATTTATGAGGTTTCTCCCCTGTGTGCATTCGCTGGTGCACGATGAGGTGTGACTTGTGTCCAAAGGCTTTTCCACAGTCATTACATTTATGAGGTTTCTCCCCTGTGTGAATTTGCTGGTGTATGATGAGGTTTGACTTTTGTCCAAAGGCTTTTCCACAGTCATTACATTTATGAGGTTTCTCCCCTGTGTGAATTCGCTGATGTATGAGGAGGGATGACTTTTGTCCAAAGGCTTTTCCACAGTCATTACATTTATGAGGTTTCTCCCCTGTGTGAATTCGCTGGTGTATGAGGAGGGATGACTTGCGTCCAAAGGCTTTTCCACAGTAATTACATTTATGAGATTTCTCCCCTGTGTGAATTCGTTGGTGTATGAGGAGGGATGACTTGCGTCCAAAGGCTTTTCCACAGTCATTACATTTATGAGGTTTCTCCCCTGTGTGAATTCGCTGATGTATGAGCAGGGCTGACATTTGTCCAAAGGCTTTTCCACAGTCATTACATTTATGAGGTTTCTCCCCTGTGTGAATTTGCTGGTGTCTGATGAGGTCTGAGTTTTGTCCAAAGGCTTTTCCACAGTCATTACATTTATGAGGTTTCTCCCCTGTGTGAATTCGCTGATGTTTCCTGAGGCCTGACTTGTGTCCGAAGGCTTTTCCACAGTCATTACATTTATGAGGTTTCTCCCCTGTGTGAATTCGCTGGTGTATGATGAGGTCTGGCTTTCGTCCAAAGGCTTTTCCACAGTCATTACATTTATGAGGTTTCTCCCCTGTGTGAATTTGCTGATGTATGAGGAGGGATGACTTGCGTCCAAAGGCTTTTCCACAGTCATTACATTTATGAGGTTTTTCCCCTGTGTGAATTTGCTGGTGTATGATGAGGTCTGGCTTTCGTCCAAAGGCTTTTCCACAGTCATTACATTTATGAGGTTTCTCCCCTGTGTGAATTCGCTGGTGTATGAGGAAGGATGACTTGTGTCCAAAGGCTTTTCCACAGCCATTACATTTATAAGGCTTCTCCCCTGTGTGAATTCGTTGGTGTATTATGAGGTGTGACTTTTGTCCAAAGGCTTTTCCACAGTCATTACATTTATGAGGTTTCTCCCCTGTGTGAATTTGCTGGTGTATGATGAGGTTTGACTTTTGTCCAAAGGCTTTTCCACAGTCATTACATTTATGAGGTTTCTGCCCTGTGTGAATTCGCTGGTGTATGAGGAGGGATGACTTGCGTCCAAAGGCTTTTCCACAGCCATTACATTTATGAGGTTTCTCCCCTGTGTGAATTCTCCGGTGTACTATGAGGTCTGACTTCCACAGAAAGCCTTTTCCACATTGAAGGCATTTATAAAGTTTCTCTCCTGTGTGAATTCGCTGATGGTTTATGAGGTATGACTTCTGTGTAAAGGCTTTTCCACAGTCACTACATTCATGAGGTTTCTCCCCTGTGTGAATTTGCTGATGTTTCCTGAGGAATGAATTTTGTCTAAAGGCTTTCCACAGTCATTACATTCAGAAGGTGAATTAAAACTGAGTGATTTTCCACAAGGTTTACATGTGTAAACTTTTTCCCTTGTATTTAGTCTCTGGTTTATTGCAAGATGTGACTGGTGAATGACAGGTTCAACATACATAATGTACTTATAAAATTTCTTTCTTGTGTGAGTTTGTTGATGCATATTGAGGCTAGAATTTTCATGGATAGCTTTTTCTATTTGCGTTGCTTTTCCAAAAGGGACAGTTGACTTATTATGGTTTTCTGCCATATGAACCCTCTCAGATTTACAGAACATCTTTCTTGTGAAGACTTTTGCTTGTCCAGTGGGTCCAAATGGCTGCTTCATGATGTGAATATTGTCAAGCTGACTAAGAGGCTCACAGAACTGGAGAGATTTTCCAGGTATCTTAGTGTTATCAAATTTCTCTCCAGCCTGTAGTTGATCAGGCCCACTGGGGGGATACACAGTGTGACATTTATTGCATTCCTCAGGCTTCAATCCTGAATAGATTCCCTTTTTAATAATCAGTGTTGGAACATGGCTTGAATTTAAACTAAGTGTTTTTCTTAATTCAATTCTCTTGAGAGCTGATGTCTTGTTATTTTTCATAAAATCCTGATTCAGATTTTTGTCCTGACTTTCCTGGTTGATCCTAATCAGGTCATCCCTTTTCATGACCACTGAAATGAGAAAAAAGCAATCATGTCACTGAATCACATGTAACTGTTTCTCCTGGCATACTCATGTAAAGGGAATGAAGTTACTTGTTATCCAAGTGGCATAAGATGTTCACAAAATCAGTATGAGGTACTTATTTGTGACCATTATATGGTTTTTCTCCTTAATACATTAATATACCATAAGGTTTCCCAATGTTCAAACATGATCCTTTCTACTATGAGAATTTGTCAAGGATGGTAGAATGATTTTTGTGCTATGATGTGTGGGATACCTGCATCTCAAAACAGTGTCAGTTTGAGCCCTGGCTACTCTGCTTTCAGTACAGCTCTCTGCCTATGTAAACTGGAAGGAACCAGATAATGGTTCATGTGCCTGGGAACCTGTGAGAAACTAGGGAAGACTAGAGGGATTCTAGAGTTTTGGCTTCAGACTAGTTAGACCTAAGTGTTGCAGGCATCTGGGAAGTGAGCTAATAGAGGACCTCTTTCTCTCTCTCTCTTCTCTCACTATCACTCTGCCTTTCACAAAGATGAAATAACTATAAAATATTTTAAAGAATGGGCAAATATGTAATAAAAACATTCACCCACTACCTAGCAACCATTTTTTCCCTGTGCTTTTTCTCCAGTTTATTTTTATAAAAATTGTGTGCTTTTTGCTTCTCTGATATCTCAACCATAAACATGAAAAAGTTTTACTGATCATTTACTTGCAGGTGGAGAAGAGTGAAATGTGCCTGTACTTTAAGCAGGACAACATTTAAGGAGTAGGACTTAAATCTATGAGTGTCTCATGCTCAGTCTTCCTAGGTAAACGTCATTTGTGGGATTTTTCAAATGAAAAACTACTTTGTCTCTACTCTATGACAGCTTCCCCAAATTCCTAAGGACACCCAACACCTTCAGCTTCTCAGAAGTACAACAGGTACAGAAAATTCCCAATATACGACTTTAGTTAAACACTCCCAATCAGTTTGAAGAATTTGTTTTTGCAAACCAGGATGTGCTCATCTTCTTTCAAAAGTGGTTTCTAACTCATTCTGAAATCATCAGTGCTGGTTACCTCCTCTAAAGTCTTTCTAGAAACATTCCTGTGTGATAATTTGAATTTCTGGAGGCATTTGATCAGTTGCCTCCTATTTTCACTGAAAGCTTCATTTCCTATGTTTTTCTTATCTTTTTATTTGCATATTTTTCAATGATACTGAAAATAAGAGAGAAATCATACTTCAAACTCCACCCTTCAAGAAATCTGAGCCACTCAACATAACCCCATGAGGCTACTTGACCTTGGGTCTCAAAATCTCATTACTTTCTTGGTGAGTCTAGGATCACTTATTTTCATGTTTTATATAAGTTCATGCTTAGTTTAGGATTTCTTTTTTCAAAGATTTACTTTATTTATTTAAAAGCTAGAATTAAAGAGAGAGAGAAGTCTTTCATCTGCTGGTTCACTCCCCATATGGGAACAACAACCAATGCTGGGCCAAAATGAAGTTAGGAGCAAGGAGTGTCTTTCTTGTCTCCCACATGGGTACAGGGGGCCAAGGATTTGGGCCAACCTCTGCACTTTTCTCAGGTGCATTAGCAGAGAGCTGGATTAGAAGAGGACCAGCTGGGACTTGAACTGGCACCAATATGAAATGCTAGTGTTGCAGGCTGGAGCTTTAACACACTGCACCACAGTGTCATTGCTAGCTTCATAATTTCTGATGTCACAGCACAGAGGCTTACTCATGACCATCTTTTATTTTTTTTTTTTAAGATTTATTTATTTGAAAGTCAGAGTTACAAGAGAGAGGAGAGGCAAAGAGAGTAAGATCTTCCAACCAATGGTTCACTCCCCAATTGGCCACAATGGCCAGAATTGTGCTGATCTGAAGCCAGGAGCCAGGAGCTGCTTCTGTGTCTCCCTCAGGTGCAGGAGCCCAAGGACTTGCACCATCTTCTACTGCTTTCCCAGGCCATAGCCAAGAGCTAGATGAGAAGTGGAGCAACTGGGTCTCAAACTGGTGCCCATATGGGATGCTGGTGCTCCAGGCTAGGGTGTTAATTCACTGTGCCACAGCACCGGCCACATGACCATCTTTTAGCATTTACTTATTTACTTACTTGAGAGTAAGAGAGACAGAATAAAGATAAAGACAGACAGAAACAGAGCTTTGCCAACTATAGGTTCACTCCTCAAATGTTTCCAACAGACTATAATTTTCTTATTTATTTTAGAAGCACAGAGGGAAAAAAAGAAAGAGACTAAGAAAGAGAGAGTTCACATTTATTGATTCAGTCCTGAGCAAGTTCTATGCCTGGACAAAATCATGAGTGGGAACTCAATCTGAGCAATGAGTTAGAAATAAGTTTCCAGGGGCTGGCATTGTGGCATAGCAGGTAAAGCCACCACCTGAGGTGCTGCCATCACTTATGGGCACCAGTTTAAGTCCTAGCTGCAGACTGACCTGAAAGGCTCTGATTCAAGCATTCATCCACCATCCATGGCTCTTCTCCTTGCTCCAACTTGAAGATCAAGTCAGGTTTGGTAATGCAGTGCCCTATTAATGGAAACAAAGTAAGACTTTGTAAACTCACTATCTTGGGTTATTTAAAGGACTACAGCTTGGTTCAGGAGCTATGCAACAAATGTTCCAATTTGAATCTTTTGTTAGATGGTAGATATTCAGATTATTCACAGACTCAAATTCTAATCCTGCCCAATATTAAACATTATAAAGTGTTCCCTTATTTGTCAAATAGCAAGAAAATGTTATCACTGGGCATGTGATGGGTGTCACTCACCCAAGGAGAACAGGCTGCTGTAGGTCTCCAGCATCACATCTCTGTACAGGATCTTCTGAGCATTGTTCATTTTCTGCCATTCCTCCCATGTAAAGTACACAGCCAGGTCTTCAAATGCTGTCATTACCTATAATAATACACTTCCAGTCAACATGTTAACTCTGTCACAAAATAAACACTGACAGTTGTGTATGGATATGAAGGAAAAAAGGAAGGCTAAGGTTTCACATTAGACTTGTTAGTGTTTAGAAAGCCACACAGAGCATTCAACAGAGTCAAACCCATGATCTACAGGCTGTGAGAAATGCCCAACCTAGAGGGAAACAGGAGGTTCAAATCACAAATGCCACATCTGTCAAGGGGAATTGCACAGCAGGCTAGAAGAGGGGCAATACTGACTCTTGACTGGGCAATGTTAAGGAGAAGTATGTAGAAGCATTGAGAAAAAAGGCAAGAAACCATCAGTGAAACTATGATGGGAATGAACAGAAAACAATTTCCAGGAAAACACCATGCTTATCATTTCCAATATGTCAGAGAAAAAATATATTAAAAGACAGGGCAGACATTTAGCTTAGTGTTGTTTATGATGCCACCTCAGAGTGTCCATGACTTCCAATGCCAGCTGTAGTTTCTAGCTCCCAGATAATGCAAACCTGGGGAAGCAATGGTGATGTCACCAATGAAGGAGGCCTAGATTCCATTCCTCAATCCTGGCTTCAGTCCTGCCCCACCTGTTTGGTATGCTTATCTAGGAAATGAATCAATGTGTCAAAGCTCTCTATCTCTCAGTCCATCAACTTTTTTCTCTATCAAGCTAATAAATATTTTTAAGAGAGAAAATACAGGTAAGACAAAGAATACAAATTAGCTTTTGCCCTTGTCTATGATTATTCTACTAATAAACAATTGAAATAACATTATACCTAATTAAAGTGAAAGCAATGGAAATACTTGCCCAAAACATTCAAATGATAAACATTTGAAATGACATTATACATAATTAAATGAAAGCAATGGAATTATTTGCCCAAAAAGAGAACCTGGGAATGTCTGCAGTACAATCTGCATTTGTGACTCACTGAGAAAAATGCTTAGAGATTTGTTTCAGAACTTGCAATAGTCACCAGAATTGTGATCCAGCAGGCTAAGCCTCCACCATCAATGCTGGCATCCCATGTAAACAGAGGACTTGACTCCTTGGTGCTCCACTTCCAATCTAGTTCCCTGCTAATCTGATTGAAAGAGCAGTGAAAATGGCCTGAGTATTTGGACCCTTCCACCAATGTGGGAGACCCATGGAGTCCCAGGCTCCTGGCTTTGGCCTGGCCCAGTCCCAGCCATTGTGGGCATTTGGGGAATGAACACTAGATAGAAGATATATCCTTTTGTCTCCCTGTCTCTCCCAATCTCTGCAAGTCCACCTTTCAAATAAATAATCTTAAAAAAATAAATGAGCCTCCAGTAGATTCTTTTCTCCACACATTCCTTATCCTATTCCAGAATCCAATTCAACTTCTCAAAGGTATTAAGAACTCCATTACTCTAACAATTTGAAAACAAACTTAACTGATTTGTGTTCCAGCACTAGGTAACTCTTCCTCTTGCAGAATGCTAAGTGTTTACTTTATAGGTAGCACTAAAACACTGTTCAGTACATCATCTATGTGTAGAATGTTTCAGACATGACCCCAAAAATGTAGCATATTGTGCTTAGTTTCAACTCAATTCATGTAACAAATATATATTTTGCTATAGCAACAGAAAGACAAGAGACCAAACTGCATTATTATAGATGACAGTAATGTTTCATAATCATGCCAAATTCATCATTCATTTCTGTATATTCTGTGATAACAAATTTTATGTTTATTTTTCTATTTAAAATTTTGTAAAGATTTATTTATTTATTTGAAAGTCAGAGTTACACAGAGAGAGGAGAGGCAGAGAGAGAGAGAGGTCTTCCATCTGCTGGTTCAGTCCCCAATTGGCTGCAATGGCTGGAACTGCTCCAATCTGAAGCCAGGAACCAGGAGCTTCTTCTGGGTCTCCCACATGAGTTCAGGGGCCCAAGGACCTGGGCCATCTTCCACTGCTTTCCCAGGCCATAGTAGAGAGCTGGAACAGAAGTGGAGTAGCCGGGTCTCAAACCAGTGCCTATATGGGAAGTCGATACTTTAGACCAGGGCATTAACCCACTGATCCACAGAGGCCAACCCCATATTTTCCATTTTAATTAACTAGTATACTGGGACTGGCACTGTGGCTAGCAGGTAAAGCCACTGCCTTCAGTGCTGGCATCCCATATTGGTGCCAGTTCAAGTCCCAGTGGCTTCACTTCCAATCCAGCTCTCTGCTATGGCCTGGGAATTCAGTAGAAGATGACCTAAGTCCTTGGGCCCCTGAACCCATGTGGGAGACCCAGAAGAAGCTCTTCACTTCTAGCTTTGGACCAGTGCAACTCGGGCCATTGTGGCAAACTAGGGAGTGCACCAGCAGATGGAAGACTCTCTCTCTCTCTCCCCCTCTGCCTCTCTGTACCTCTTTCAAATAAATTTTAAAAAATCTAAAAAAATAAATAAATAAACTAGCATTAAACACCTAAAATGAGTACTGACAAGCTGGGGAATAATTAAAAAAAAAAAACACTTACAGGTGATATATTAATTTTCTTTCCTCTTAGAAACATGTGGAGGACCCAGAATCATACCTGGGAGAGAAGGTGAATGGCAGGAGTTCAAAGAAAACTCTAGAGGCCAACGCTGTGGCATAATGGGTAAAGCTGCTGCCTACAGTGCCAGCATTCCATATGGGTTCTGGTTTGAGTACTGCCTCCTCAACATACAATCTAGCTTTCTGCTATGTCCTGAGAAAGCAGTGGAACATGGTCCAAGTCCTTGGGCCACTGCACCTGCATGGGAGACCCAGAAGCTCTTGGGTCTTGGCTTTGGATCGGCTGAGCTCAGCCTTGCAGTAATTTGGAGGGTGAGCCAGCAGATAGAAGACTTTCTCTCTCTGCAACTCTGTCAATAAATAAATGAAATCTTAAAAAAAAAAAAACCTCTGGTTTCCTTCTGCACTGAACAGTGGGGAAAAAAGGGATATAGTAGAATGAATAAAGAAGAATAAATACATTAACCAAGAAACATCAGCTTCACTGTGGAGGAATAAACCTCTAAAAATAGAAATACATAGGAAAATGCACCCACCTATATTAAGTGGCAGAGATTAAACAGAAGTTATCATTGGTTTAATGAAAGCATTATCTACAAATTTTGTAAAATAATAATGTGAAAGTAAAAAGAAAAGTTGAGTGTTCAAATGAATAGGTTATCAGAGATAAACATTATGTTGTTATTAAAGTTTATACTAAAGAAAGTTAACAAATACACATAATGTATATTTAATGCAGTGCACTTTACCAGTAATGATTCCAAGTAGCACCTTTCCCTGTATTCATCCCTTCACAAAACCCTGGATTGGGGTTGGCACTGTGGCCTAGCGGGTAAAACTGCCACCTGCAGACTGGCATCCCATATAGGCACTGGTTTGATTCCCAGCTGCCCCACTTCTGATCCAGCTTTCTGCTATGGCCTGGGAAAGCAGTAGAAGATGGCCCAAGTCCTTGGGCCCTGGTACCCATGTGGAAGACCCAGAAGAAGCTCCTGGATCCTGGCTTTGGATTGGCATAACTCTGGCCATTACAGCCAACTGGGGAGTGAACCAGCAGATGGAAGAGCACTCTATCTCTCTCTCTGCCTCTCCCTCTCTCTGTGTGTAACTCTTTCAAATAAATAAATAAATCTTTTTGAAAAAGACCACGAATTTCACCATTTCAATTGATTTACCCCATGAGATACCAGTAAATGTGATAGAAATAGACAATTTGTAAAATATTTATTTATATGAAAGAGTTGCACAAAGAGAGGAAGGAGAGGCAGAGGAGAAAGAGAGAGAGGGAGAAGGAGGAATAAAGAGAGGTCTTCGAACTGCAGGTTCACTCCCAGATAGCTGCAATGGCTGGAGCTGTGTAGATCCAAAGATATGAACCGGAGCTTCTTTCAGGTCTCCCACAAGGGAGCAGGGGCCAAAGGACTTGGGCCATCTTCTACTTTTTTCCAGGCCTGTAGCAAAGAGCTGGATCAGAAGTGGAGCAGCTGAGTCATGAACTGACACCCATATGAGATGCTGGCACTGCAGGCGGTGTCTTTACTTCCTATGTCACAGAACCAGCCCCAGAAATAGACATTTTTGTAAAGTATTTGCCTTCTCAGATTTTCTTTTCTGACAGTTATCTTCTGAAAAACCCTGGGGCCTGCCTGTTGAAGAGATAGTATGTAGGCTGGCGCCGTGGCTCACTAGGTTAATCCTCCACCCGTGGCACTGGTATTCAGGTGACAGTCCAGTTGGGGTACTGGTTCTGACCCAGTTGCTCCTATTCCAGTCCAGTTCTCGGCTGTGGCCTGGGAAGGCAGTGGAGGATGGCCCAAGTCTTGGGCCATGCACCCACAAGGGAGACCAGGAGGAAGTGCCTGTCTCCTAGCTTTGGATCAGCACAGCATGCTGGCCATAGCAGCCATTTGGGGGGTGAACCAATGGAAGGAAGGCATTTCTCTCTGTCTCTCTCTCTCTCACTAACTCTGCCTGTCAAAAAAAGAAAAAACGAGATAATATTAGCCAAGATTCACCACAAACCCCAGACACTTAAGTGAAGCCTCAATCAGTTCCCCAAATGGCTAACTCTCATTTCTGCTCCTGGACTGATCATAGGAACTGCCCAGCTGAGTACAGCCCAAAACACAGAGTCAGAACTGCAAATCAAATGGCTATTTGTTAAGCCATTGTGTTTTCTGATTTGTCCTACATCAAATGCTGATATATATCAGTAAGTATGGCAGAAAGTTGAATTACATGCAAACTACAATGCATACAACTTCAAAATTTCATTTGGAAGTTCCCAATGGCCAACAGGCACATGAAAAAATGTTCAAGGTCATTAGCAATCAGGGAAATGCAAATCAAAACACAATGAGGTTTCACCTCACCCCGGATAGAATGGCTCAGATGCAGAAATCTACCAACAACAGATGCTGGCAAGGATGTGGGGAAAAAGGGACACTAACCCACTGTTGGTGGGAATGCAAACTGGTCAAGCCACTATGGAAGTCAGTCTGGAGATTCCTCAGAAACCTGAAGATAACCCTACCGTTTGACCCAGCCATCCCACTCCTTGGAATTTACCCAAAGGAATTTAAATTGGCAAACAAAAAAGCGGTCTGCACCCTAATGTTTATCGCAGCTCAATTCACAATAGCTAAGACCTGGAACCAACCTAAATGCCCATCAATGGTAGACTGGATAAAGAAATTATGGGATATGTACTCTTTAGAATACTATACCGCAGTAAGAAACAACGAAATCCAGTCATTTGCAACAAAATGGAGGAATCTGGAACACATCATGCTGAGTGAAATAAGCCAGTCCCAAAGGGACAAATACCATAGGTTCTCCCTGATCGGTGACAACTGACTGAACACCAAAAAGGAAACCTCCTGAAGTGAGATGGACACTATGAGAAATGGTGACTTGATCAGCCATAGCCCTGACTGTTAATGAACAACTTAATACATTATCCCTCTTAGTAGTTTTTTTGTCTGTTCTACTTAATATGACTGGTTTAATTCTGTAATTAATACACAGTTATTCTTAAGTGTTGAAATTTAACTGAAATGTGATCCCTGTTAAACATAAGAGTAGGAATAAGAGAGGGAAGAGATGTACAATTTGGGACATGCTCAAGCTGACTTGCCCCAAATGGTAGAGTTAGAAACATACCAGGGGACTCCAATTCAATCCCATCAAGGTG